CGTTGGCCCGATGTTGGCTTAATGTCATTTTGTCACTGTCGGGCCAACGTTGGCCCGCCGGCAAGAAAGCCGTGGGCCCAACATCATGTTGGCGACGTTGGACCAACGTAACAGCTTACGTTGGCCCCACGTTGGCGTAACGTCGTATTGTTATCTGGGTAATGGGAAAGTTATCCGCCACCAGTCAGAGACACTACTGGTTCAGCCAATTTGAAGAGCCCATACGAAGATTACAACTTTTAACAATTCATACCCGGTTCTCATCTTTTGTTCGATTTCATTCTTCCATCAGCCTGACTTTTCTGTTTTCATGTTTTGTAGTTTGCTATTAAAGTTGGTTTCCCTTTAAATCAATACCAGATATTTGATATTCGATTTTACGAAACTTGAATATTATTCTTCCTATATAAGCACTTAAGTGTTATTTATTCTGCTAAATGCACAATTTACCACATGCCTCACTTGTCTTCCCCTCTCGCATTTCTTTTATTCGTTTTGTTCACATTGATAATTTATTTTTATGCCTTTTGAAGTGCATGTATGTTGATCGCCTTCTGAGGTATCTGTTCTCCTGTATGTTTTATGCTCGTAAAAAATAGTCTGCTATATGGACAATAAATACATTGAATTTAATTTAATTGAGCCTGACCATTCGAACTATGATTATACCGTGCACACATGCAATACATTTTGCCTATAATTGTCAAAAGTGGGAAGGTAACATGGTCAACATTGTTTCATCATCCATTTAGAAACCTTAATATATCTAATTCGATCAAGCAGCCGGCTGCTTTGGTTTTTAATCAGAAGGGATACTGACCTATGTTTGAAATAGTAATTGTAATTAACGGTTATTGGCTCAATAATTCTGTCAGCTCCTCTTTCAGTGTGAAAATTTCTTTTGATTTACAATCAATATATATTTGTACTCCTACAGCCAAGAAAAACAAAATTTATTTCTTGAAAATGTGTTCCAGAAAGTCAATAGAAGGTGAAAGTAAGCGGGAGGTAAATAATGAAGATGGAATATCTTGATTAAAATATATAACCATAGAATGGACAATGTGGTGACTTTTTCAACATGAACCATCCTGTTGGCAAGTATGACAATATTCAGCCCGTTCGTTTTTCTTTTGCCCGTATTTGGGGTGGAAAAAAATTAGGGATACGAAATTGACGAGAGCCTAAAGATGGGGAGAATAAATAGGGAAAACTTCCTCAAGGAATGGAACGAAAGAAGACGAGGAAAATATAATAATGTTGGATGAAACAAGAGGAGAAAGATGGGGAGGAGATGGGTATGAGTTGAAACATGGTCGGAGAGGAGGAAAAGAAAGCGGAGATTGTGGAAAGCAGGGGAGGAAGAAGAGGCCAGAGGGAGGGGGAAATTGAGAATGTGGATTGAAACAAAACAGGAATGATGACGATACAGAGGAGAAAGGGATAACCATGTAACAGACTGAAAAGAATACAAAATAAAAGTTGGAACTCAGAGAAGGGGGAAGGGGGTGGGATAAAACCATTCGAACAAGATAACGGAGAAATATGAAAGTAAAAGGGGATGTTAGGGGAGAAAAGAGGATAAGGGATGAAACGAAAAGAAAGAGTATTAGAAGACAAGAACTAGAATTGCAGAAGAGGGAGGATAGTGTGATACGAATTATGACAGGTGAGTGGAAGGCAAAGGTGAGAAATGGGACGAAAGAAGAGGGCCTGAGAAAGCACGAGGTTAAGAAATAAAGAGAGAGAGAGAGAGAGAGAGAGAGAGAGAAAGTTCAGATATGTTGTCAGACTTGAAAATACGATGGCTGTTTTTTTTTTTTATCCTTGTCGTCAAAGATGAAAGTGCGAGGTTCATGCATCTTTCTTTCCCTTTTCAATTTTTTCTTTCTTTCTCCCTCCTTCTCCTTGGAAACATTTGGGCCAAATTGCCACAAATTTGGTGCAACAAACCCCGTATCAACGCACCTGAAGAAATCCTCTTATCAATTTTGATACCCTATTATCAAAGAATGAATGACATTAGGATATTGTCTGATACATGTGTGTATTTATGTATTTTTTAATTTATTTTGTTTATATGTTTACTTATTTATTTGTTAATGACAGCCCTATTTGCATACCGAATTGCTGTGTCTTTACATTAATTGCTATAACTCATATCTTCATTATCCCCATCACATTTAACTACTTAAAGTGGTTCATCATCATCATCATCATTATCATCATCATCACCACCACCACCACCACCACCACCACCACCACCACCACCAAAATCATCATCATCATCAGCATCATCTTCTTCTTCATCATCATCATCATCATCATCATCATCATCATCATCTTCTTAATCATTATCATCATCATCATCATCATCACCACCACCATCATCATCACCACCATCAATACCACCAGCACTATCACAGGTTTCTCACAATAAGAATAACTATGAGGGACAAAGATGATCATCTTAAATAAGTGAAACTGTTATGCAATTGCTTCATTATCATATTATATTCTTTATTTATTTGCAAAACATGCACAAGAACAAATCATCTTTATTCACATTTACAGGATGCCAGTATGATACAAAATACTGGCTAAGGAGGGAGAGAGGGGGAGGAAAGAAAGAAAGGGATGGGTAAATAAATTCACTTGTATCCAAATCATCCTTATTCATAACTTAAAACAATATTAAAGAACATCAGAATAACAAGTTAAGGGTTTAATTCACACTGAACAAGAGGATACATAGTTTTTAAAAAGATCAACATGAATTAAAAGGCACTCATAAATACAACTAAAACATACTTTGAAAAACTCAATATCAGTGTCAATGTGGCTTGTAAAACACTGCCAAACTGCAATTCTTTCTTGTAATCATCACAATCAGATACGAATCTACTCCACGATAGATAGATACAGAACAGTTTATATTGTTCTGATTATATTGCCTAACCCTACATCACCTGTTTAATAATCTAACAATATTTTTTATGAACCAAAGCCACTCCATGTTTGTGTCCGTCAAATGAAAATGAAGATTTCCTTTTTTTTGTCCCGTAAAATGTTGAATCTTCCTTCAAATGAAATCATCATGTTCACGTAAACATTGAGAATAGTCAATTAAAATGATCTGTACAGCACTATTTACAAAAGTATCTTCGTAAAAGACAAATGTTTTGTGGCAGCATGTACGCGTCATCCGTATCGACATACCGACTATAATTCTCTCTAGAGTTGTGGAAATGACTATCCTTTTAGTTTAATACATGTACATTCAGATGAAAGAAGATTTCATACCATATGTATCCATTATGAATCTGCCTGAATCATTCAACAACAAAATACAAAAACAAAAAAGAAACAATCTGCTATCTATCTGGATAGCAGGTACAAACAAAACAAAACAATTGCAGGAGTTGCAAGGGTTCAAAAAGTCCCTCCAAAAAGTCCTTTCAAAAAGCATTTAAAAATTGATTTTTGAAATTTCAGAGATTTCAGCCCAAAAGTTGTTTAACGGTTAAAATATAAATAACACCAAAATCATTGGTTTGTATTTTAAGAATCCTCCTTAAAGTACCATTGATTAAAAAAACATAAGAGTGTTTGCAAAAATATCAGATAGATTAAACTCCTAATAGTGTGAGATATATGGCTACGAGATGTGCCATTTTAAACCATAAATTGTGGACAAGTTAGAGATTAACCAAGATTAACCGTCATACCTGCTTTGACGTAAAATACTAAGCAACAAAAAATACTAATGTTTACTTTGACCAGGAAGTATACTAACCCTCTCTATACTGTTGAGATGATCATTATTGATCACATTGTTTAGTTTTGATTTGCATTTTTTGCATAGAATATATGCTGAGTCAAATAACAACTATCTTATTCACTTATGCTCTTTAATGGATGCAGCAAAACAAATAGCAAAAGCAGAAACAAGTAACAAATTGGGCAGCAAACTTAGAGTATAAACTAACAAACTTAAATGGAATGCATGAAGGAAAAAAAGTATCATCCAAAATGAATGAATGAGTGAATGGTTACTGGTAAACAAGCAAACTCTCTATTTCTGCAACTTTGTAATACTACCATCCATATCATGCTTTATTTCCAGTGATAAATGTATCAAAGAGTCAAACTTTGTTGTTGATGTCAAAAGATTTAAGGCTCCTTGAAAAACTTGGAGATGAAAAAGAGTGAAGTATCGATAAGTCTAACAATTTAAGATGTTCCACTGCCTAGCACCAATGCATTGTTACACAATGCCACAACAATAAATAAATTTAAAACACACAAAAATGATACAAAAGGTTTTGTAAGAAACATGATACAAAAGTACAAAAATGCAGAACATTGCACGTAGCTTCTCTTTCTATTCAGTCTAGTCACTGCAGCAACACAGAGAAATAAGAATGTCATTTTAAACAAAACATAATGAGACACGTAGCTTTTAAAAAGCTGACAATTTGCTTGCATTGTCACAATAAAAAAATAAAAAATTAAAACACAGAACTTTCTTAATTTCAAAATACTATCGGTCTATCAATATATATATAGATATCGTCATCATTATCATCAACATTTATTAAAGTCAGATAATAATTAGAAAAGATGTAGGGAAATGTAAAATGAAAATAGGGGAAATAGATAGAGATGGAGGGAAAAATGTGGGAAATGGGATAGAAACAAGGAGGAAGAAGGAGTAAGACATGGAAAGGTGGAATACAGACAGGGGGAGACAGAGACAGGGAAAGAGAGAGAGAGAGAGAGAGAGAGAGAGAGAGAGAGAGAGAGAGAAAGTGAGAGAGAGAGAGAGAGAGAGAGAGAGAGAGAGAGAGAGAAGGGAGAGAGAAGGGAAAGAGAAGGAAGAGAGAAGGAGGGAGAAAGAAGGGAGAGGGAGAAAAAAGGGAGAGGAGGGAGAGAGAGAGAGAAGGGGAGGGAGAAGGGAAAAAGAAAGATAGAAGTGAAAAAGAAAGAGAGAAGGGAGAGAGAAAGAGAGAAGGGAAAGAGAAAGAAAGAGAGAAAGAAAGAGAGGGAGAGAGAGAGAGAGAGAGAGAGAAAGGAGAGTTCAGGACATAATAGATATAGACAGGATTAATCAATTGATCAGTTCTGATCATATAAACCTCAGAGTTCTCGTTGAAGATCAGAATCAGATTACTCTATCTTCATTTGGTTTTCAATCACATTCATGCATCATGAGATTAAGCTACTCAGCAAATGTCAAAAACACTATCAATCTAATCAAATTGCATAGCCAATTGAGTTGAATATTACTCTCTGAATTGAGTTCAATGGACGTTACATACAGCAGAATCAGAATCTGAATGCACCTACAACAACAGAATCACAACATTTAAGTTCCTTTTCAAACACAAATAATATGCAGCCTCACAGGAAATTAATCATGTCATTACAATAGATACTGGAGTCTACTTGTAACTAACACCCCTTCTCTTTTTTCGATCATGCTTGAAAAATAATTTCAAATCAAACAAATTCTGGAATGAAACGTAAAGTAGAACGACCAGTCGCAAAAGCAAATGGAATCTTCATTTATCCATCACCTTCTTTCCTCTTGGTATACTACAATCTACTTTTTTGCTCACAATTAAACGACCTAAAGATTTATCATGTACATGTATGAAACAATTTCTACACCACATGATTACTTTTTTGATTCCTATATAAATTAAAAATAATATCTTGATCAACTCAACAGATCCACTCTCCTCCTATAATAAATGATTGCAATGATGAGGAAGCATGGTGTGTCTTTGATGAGATGGAAGCGACCTAACTCGTTGGTTGGAAACAATGTTCTTCATGATAACGATATCTGCATGCACCTGTGCATTACAAGATGGTTTCTCGAGCACCTTCCAGGCTTTTGACAAGCTCCGCCCGGGATACGCTCAGCATCTTCTCCGCTTGTCTCTGCATATCATCGGCGTCGGGACAGCTATGACGGAACTTCATCTGCTCAGACTTGGAGACCGTGGTCTCCACGTTGTCTTGCTCTCTGTTATCCTTGAAGCGCACAACGCCATTCTGTAAAGAGTTCCTCTGGTGCGTGCATTTACTGGCAAACGTATCGAGGATACAGGCACTCTGCCAGAGTTCACTTAGATATTGATCGTCATTCTCAATCACACTGTGGATATCCTGAAGAACAGACTTGACAGCGGGTGAGAAATCACCGTCAGCATGGCTCAGGATTTCAGAGACAAGCGTGCTAGTATCGTTGTTGAATTCCACCATTGACTTTGGACGGTCCTTTGTTGCATTTTCTGTCACATTACAACACTCTGTGGTGTCAATGTCTTTTTCGGGTGTTGCATGCTCCCTCTCAATATTGCTAGATGGAAGCCCCATTTCAGCCATGACTCCGTTATCATTGCAAGTCGGATTGATCCTGACACGGGTATTGTTATCAGGTAGTTGGAGCGATGCCGGTAGATTGTTCCTAGGGTGGTTCTTGCCCTCTGACATGCGATGCAGTTGTTTCTTTTTAATGCAAGAGGGCGCTGCCTGAGGCACTTTAGAGCGCTTCGATTCACTAGCAGCCATGTTGACAGTTAACTTCTCCTTGTTCGTAGCAATGGTCACACCATCCCTAGGGATCCAAGGATCGTAAGAATCAGCGGAAGAACTAGTGGACAATGAGTTCTGATGGCCAATGTAACCCCTATGTGAGCTCCATATGAGCTTCAAGTCCAGGGAATCTGGTCTCTTTTGCTTGACCCTACCGTGCTGATTGAACTGAATACTGGATGGACTCAAACCATGAGTTGCATTGTTTCTTTCATGACACGTCCCAGGTCTGGCATTTGGTTTAGCATTAGCGGTAGTCTGTGACTGAGGAAGAGACTGTCTACCTACAGTAGGCTGGGCACTGACAGGTCTCTGTCTGTTCCTAGACCCACGTGTGTGTCTCCTTGAACGACTTGGTCCATTTGACTGTCCACTCTGACCCTGTTTATCTACCTCATGTGTTACACCTCCATTTCCCATGCGTGCTATTAGTCTGCGAGGGCGTTGTGGAGTGTTGTCGTCGCTATCGCTTGATGAGCTTGTGCTGAACAATTGTTGCTGTCTGGCTCTTGCAGTTTGTCTGATGCCTCCATTGCTCTTTGAGCTATGGTCGGTGGAAGACGTGCTGTAGTTGCTTGATGAGGTCCTCATACGACGATCGGAGGACCTGCGTCTGCGTTGACGTCGTTGGGTGCTGGACGATGTGCGTGTATTACGACTGCTGCTGCTTGCCGTACCTCCTGTAAGCCTCTCGCTGCTACCCGAGGGACTGCGCTCACTAGGAGGACTACGGTTCTGCAGTGGACTGGTGGAGGTACTGCTTGTTTTATGGCTATCCTCTGTCCTCTCACTATTGTTATCTAACACAGTATTTCCTTCAGATCTGTCGTATTGCCTATCCATGATGGTCTCTTCATTTCCATTCCCTATCCCATTAGTATGGTTTCCAACTGATCGTACGTTTGCACTCCTACTTTCAATACGAGCCCACATATTTTCAACTGTATTTGGTAGAATAGCTTCACAACTGGCCCCGGTAACGATGCGTTCTTCGATCATACCTCGTCTATCATCTAGACAAGCACTAGTCCTAAGAGGGGCCTGCATGCCCATAGCCGTCCGACCTGGCAAGGGTAGAGTCTGGGCGTTGCCCCTGCTCCTGTTACGCCTCCTCCCTGACTGATCACTATCTCCTGATCGACCGTCTCCGGGTGACCGACGTCTTCGGTTGCTTCTCCTACTCCTCCTCTCACAAGACGATAATGATAGATAATTAACAGTGTCCTCGTTTCGACGAGAGAGATACCCGTTGGTGAATCCTGGTGTTCTAGTAAGGTCTAGCGTCAGAGTGTGACTATCCCATCTGATGGGTGGAAGGGGTACATGATGCTCCCTCAGTTGATTTGCTGGGACATACCCTTCTCCTAGGCAAACGTCACCGTTCTCTTCTCGTCTGTTGTCAGGAAAATTTGAGATCTGCAAAGACAAATATGAAAAAGAGATATGCACATTAGAAGGGTACATCAACACTCATCAGAATAACATCAATTCTGTATTTAACAAAATAAGACACAAAAGAACAGGTAACAACAATATTCCTTAATAACCAGCCAAAATAGGATGAGAAAGCTCTACTTTTATAAGGAAGACTTCGTCCATGTATCACAAATTCAATTTTCCTGTACAGTCGACACAAGCACCTCTAAAATGTAGAGCCAATTGGAGATGATGGTCTGGAAGGCTTGTAACCCTGCACAAGTCAATGAAGTCATCCATGAATGAAGACTGTTGCTGCAGAACATCAACAAATGTAATTACAACCGAGGGTTCAGCCCTCATTATGCTCTCTAAACATCTGGCTAGCTCTCTGCTACTAGCATGCTGGGGTATGATACAACCAAGGAGATTTTTCTTGATACAACGTATGCCGTTTCAAAGGGACACGCTAGCATTGAATACAGCAGTATTCTAAACTGTACAGAGAGGTGACGAGGCTTCCGTGAAGGAGCCATCAATAGGAATCCTTAGGGCTTGGGGTGAAATTTAGCAAAACAGCTTTCTTCTTGTGAGAGCTTCTTTATCTGTGTAAAGCTGAGATTGTAATTGTACTACGGGGTGTAATTGCTAGTATGGAGATGTTGGAATTTTGATGAAATGTTTTAGGCCTGCAACAAGAAAAACAAAAAGAAGGGAAACTGTTTGTTGTAAGTGTGTCAGTCATCCCTAAAGCAAAGCAGCACTACTACGATGTTCCCTGTCAAATTAAATCATTTGCCATAAGAGTAAGCAAGGACAATATACAGTGCTGAACAAACCTAAAGTAATTCCAAACCTATTACATCACAGTGCACTTGCACAAATAATTGTTTTTCTCCTCAAATATGTTGTCTATTTTGTAGTCTAAAAGATTTTATCCCATTAAAACGACCATTCCTTAATTAAAAGAAAATGTGATGAGAGAGAGTGCGAGAGAGGGAGGGGGAGGGGGCATGGCCTACATATATGTATAGGTCCTATATGTTCTGTAAATAGACCTTCATATTTATTAAGTTCTTGTATAAAACAATGCCCAAACTTCAGGTTAATTACGACATGGGTACAACAAGTGTTGTATAATCTATGCATATCAGTAAGTATTATTATTATTATTATTATTATTATTATTATTATTAAAGAGAGGGAGAGAGAGATATTGTGTGAGATAAGAGAGAAAAAGACACAGAGAAAGGGTGAGAGAGAGAGAGGTGAGAAGGAGAGAGAAAGATTGTGTGAGATACATGTAGTGGGAAAGAGATACCTTGAGAGGGAAGGGGGAGAGGGAAGGGGAATAGGGCAGTAAAGAAATGGAGTGAGGAAAACGAGATCATGAAGCAGAAACAGAAGTTGAGAGTGATGAAAGATAAAGGTGACATGGTTTTTCATTTAAATAAAGAAAAAGCTAACAAAAAGATTAGAATGATAGACATTCAAACTTCCTTTTCAATACAACCTCTTTATCTAAGAAACTGGAATAAAAAGCCGCAAACAAATTAGGCAAATTACATTACACGAGTAACATTCCCCAATGCCACTCACATGTTAACATGCGAAAGCAAAGACGGATTTGGAATAATACCTAACTGTCAGCTGTGTTATTCTTCAGGAGGCATGCAGAGACTCAGAGAGGGTTGAGAAAAAGTTTAGAATTCAGAAGACACGGTGCTAATGAGATTGAATGAAATCGAGTTCAGGTTTCGGCATCTGCGCGTCAGGGAGACAGTGGTGATCGATGCAACAGAAGACTGCCTCTTGTTACAAGGAAAATACTCTGGACAAAACCCTTTGATTTGACATACTGGTACCCAGCCAGGGTGGCCGGTTCAAGCACTAATCAAAATAAGATACTTCCCAATGTCAAGTATATATAGCATAGAACAAACAAAACAGACAGGGAAGAGAATCCCCATGAATCTCAAACTCTAAATAGTGCGCAAATTCAATGAATTCCTTTGCATCGAATCCATCTGTTGCTCAAAATTTTTACATTCAGCCTGGCCAACATTGCATTAGGATTCAAGAATGAAATTTCTTCATACAGTTTGACAGTTTGCTGCCAAAAGACACACCAATTTTCTTTTGAAAATGTGATAATTGTTCTTCTTTATTAGGTTTTTAAAATTGTATCATTTACCAACTGAAAAACAAAACCTTCTCTACATGTATATTAGCTTCTCCATCTCAGACAACCTGCCAATTTAGGATATATATCAAGTAAGTTTAAAATCTAGGATACTAACAGATTCTACATACAGAATCATCAGAATGAAACCTTGTTTTCTTCTAAAAACATGGAACTGGGCTATATAATTAGAATGAAACCTTGTTTTCTTCTAAAAACACGGATTGGGCTATATAATTTACTGGATCAAGTGCGGGCAGAGGAAATCTTGTAACCGTAGAACGTAAAGAGCTCTAAGAGGATGTATTAAATGGGAAGAAGACATCTATTTCTTCCAGCAATCTGACACAATTTCTCTGGCTTTATCATCCTCTTGCAGTCATTCACAAAATGCACCGCTTCCTCAATGAATATGTGAGAGAATTAAAATATTGAGGGGGGGGGGGGAATCTGGAATGCATCTAGGTCAAATGCTTTGAAATGGGATAGCACACTACACGCAACTAACAGACGGTTACCGCAGTGATATTCAATCTCTCTTTCACCAATCCTGCCCCCAAATCTCGTGAATATGCAAATGAACGACACTTGAGGTGTTGTGCACAAACTCATGCTTCATTCACAACGAGGCAGCACAACTTCCTCCACGTCACACGAGGGCCGAGCTAGCGCGGGAGTCGTCGTCATCGTACGATGCCATGCGTTGACGCCGCCGCAGAGAGATTGGTGGAAATTAATAAAATGCTGATGGGAGTAGTCTCGGGTGACTCCGAGAAGGAGCCTCTCCTCCCCTAGGCGGAGGGACCTCCATTTCATCCCTTGAATCAGACCGCCTTCTAGAAGCTCTTTAATTAGACAAGGGTCATCATGGTCAGGATAAAGGGGGTCAAGATCATATACCTATGTCACACACCTTACATCCTATCCCATCTCTTGGGAATGATTGGTGTGGAGAGCCAGACTGTAGGAATAGGTCAAATCGTTGGAAATGGTACAAAGAGAAGTTATGCCAGAAGATTGTTATTGCATCTTCAACAAGATTTCCTTTGTCATAAGAAAAAGATTGTTCATGCATCTGAAATGACATAATATGTATGTGATGAATTTTGTTTTTGTCGCTGTATTATGGAAAGCTAACAACTGTATAAAAGTATCTCAAATCTCTACCAGTAATCTTTGTCCATAATCCGCAGAGGCAGTTCCTTGCATCCATGGATAAATAAATCACATTAAAAATATTACCATTGTTATTTTAAGAATATCTCAATGAGGAAATTTAGGATACATGCAATACCAAAGAAATATCAGAGATAATATATTGATTGTAGGAAGAATGAGTCATTCAAAGAAAAGCAGAATTTCTTGAAAAGTTCTCCTCTGATAACTTTGATACAAAGATAGAAAGGATGAATGAATGAAACTGCCTTCAATTGAATAATTAGAAAATTTAAACAATTGATAGAGGACCATGCATGATGTCATTCTATCTTGCACATCATTCATCAAAATAATTTTCAACAAGAAGGCATATTAATCAGTTACCACTTGCCGGTAATAGCTTTGTCATCCAAACCCAAGGGTCACTTAGAAACTAATTCTGGACTGTTATTTTTTCTAAAAACCTCCTGAATCAATATATCAGTACATCTAATAGTTCCTTATTTGGGTGATTTAATTTAGTAAATTTAAGAGATGAAGTATAAATCATATGGGTATGATGTTGATATCGAGTGAGATGAGTCAGTCCATGCCATGGGCTATATGTTTAGGAACAGTGGTCTAATATTGGACGGGAATTGAAAGAAGTAGAAGTAGAAGAAGTACATCGTAGCAGAGTCGGCCCGGCAACACCACATTCGCATCAACAAAATTGGTTTCTCTCCTCATGCTGACAGAAAAGAGTTCAAATTAAAAGCAGGAATTGACGACGGAGCGAACTTGCTGACTAATATAGCCTGCAGGGTAAGTAAGAAGAGAACTTGAGAGAGAGAGATTGTGACAGAAGAATTGAAACTGAAATTATATTTGGGTAACTGTAGCGCTTAATTCAGCTGAAGGAATTTTTATGAGTTCTCTTTCATGACCGGTTATGACTTTTTTTTCGTACAAATGAGATTTCGTTCCTTCTCTCTATTGCTGTGTTCCCTTTGATGATGATGATGATGGCAGTAGGGCCATTATGTGCTATTATGAAAGGCATTATGTTGAGCTTGGATGAAGTTTAGCTCCCGTAATTGATGCTGTGAATGGGATTAGGTAGACGCCCATGAATGATGATGACATAGGAATGTCTACTGGAGATAGATGTCATTTTCAAGGACAAAACTAGGTAGTCGTACACATCTGAAGTTACATAGACTTTGGTTTGAATAATTATGAGTTGTTCTCCAACTCCAAGTGGAGACATCTGCAAGTCTCCTGTATAATAAAAGATGCATTAAAACACATCAACGGCAATTTCATCAAACCGTCATGTCAAACTTTGTTGATTTCTATAATCCGTGTTCTTATCACTTTAAATCATATAATTCATCTCTAATTTCAAGGCAGTTTATCCTAAAAGTGTCCTTTCTCATGCAGTAGCACATTCTCCAGCTTCCAAATCAAATAAGACAACATTGTGACTCCCTCTGTGTATACGCCTGACTTGGAAGACACCAGAGTTCAATCAAGCCAAAATAATTCATCTTGATGAAGCAACATAAGACATATGCCCTTTGGGAAAGACGGGTTGCTCAGACCGGCTTGTCTCTTTGATGTCCTTTGATGAATTCATAACCCTGTGTGTCTTCTAGTCTTCAGTCGGGCGAGAATTCAA